AAAAGGAAGTGAGTTTTGTTATAATCCGGTACATGTGCGTCCATTATAAAATTTTACAACCCTTCCTTTTGCCGTTGATCGCTTTAAATTCTGACGTTTTGGATTGGTTTCTTGGTTCCTTGATTAATAATGGTTCTCTATTGAACTTTTCACTATATATATATATATATATATATATATATATATATATATTGAAATAAATATTTTTAAATTAGATTATAACTATATTACTCAAATACCCATTTGGAATACCTCCGATAATCGATCTTCTTATTCACGACATGATTCATTGTTACTTCATATTATGTATCATCGGTTAGCAAAACTCAATGATTGCATATTACTAATCGTTTGGTAAACAATATAGTTCATCTCCTACAGTCGATTTAGGAGACATGTGATTATTATCTTCTAAACAATTTTGTTCTTCCTCTGGTTCTTCAGGTAAAATAATGAAAAAACTAATTTTAATGTGAATGCTAATATTTTATAAGGATTCATGAAGTAAATAGGTTGAGAATAGCAATGTGGGAGAAGAGTAATATTGGAATGTTACAAGTTAATTATTTTATTAATAACAAAAAATCAATATAAAAACAATTTTTTTTAAATATTAAATATTATTAAATTATATCTATATATATATATATATATATATATATATATATATATATATATATATATATGTGTGTGTGATTTTATAGGTTTTATAAGGATATATATATATATGTAATTTGAAATTTTACAAGGATATAGACATAATTATAAAAATTTACAAAAATATAGATGAAATTCTCCCCAATTTTATATCATTTTTTATGTTAAAGTTTTTCAATCTATCGTCATTTGTTAGACCCGTTTGTGATGCCCAGATGATCTTAAATAAACAATCGTTTACAATCACAACAAACATTTTCAAAAAAAAAAAAAAAATCTAAAATGGATACTTATTAGTAACATTCAACTCGTTAAAAATTGAAAAATACAAAATGCTTATAAGATAAGATGCTGAATTGTTTTTCCATAATCCTCAAAATCAGGAAAATCAAATTGACTAGATAAGAAGACCAATAATTAATTATTTACGAAAAAGCAAAAGTCTATGCTTTGAGCCATAAACAATTTTGAATGACTTAGGTGCTGTTTGTTTTTTCGAAGTGAAACTATCTGAAGTCTGCGGACCACCTCTGCAGCCCTCTGCAGCAGAAGAGGTGGACCAAAGTGCTGCAGACTGTAATGAGAAGCATGTTTGTTTTTTTAACGTCTGCAGGCTGCTGCAGATATTAAAAAAATTAAAATAAAGTAATTTAATAAACCGAAAATAGTTTATTAATACCAAAAACTTTAAAATAAAGTAATTTAAAAAAAACCATTTCAGCAAAGACTTTAACATATTCAACAAAGATTTATGATTTCAGTTTTTGAGATTTATGATTTCAGCATATAAACTTGTATATAAGTTTATGATTTCAGCATATAAGTATATGATTTCAGCAAGGATTATGATTTTACCCAATATTCATAACAATTTAACACAAAAATTCATAAACCTAAATATAAATTTGAGCAGAAAATTTGTTTAAAAACAATTATATCATAAATCAACATTCAACAAAGATTTTTAACAAAGATTCTTCGCATCTCAACAACAAAATCGGCACTCAAATCAAAAAATTAGTACTCAAATACATAGAATCGGTACTCAAATGCATAAGAAATCAGAAAAAAAAAACTTACCTGATGTTGAAGACGATGGCAGCAAAGATCGCACGTGATGTTGAAGACGACGGCAGCAGTAGTCGCGACCAGCGAGGGAGGGGGAATCGCGACCGGCGAGGGAGGGGCAGCGGCGGCTGGAGTCGGTCTTCAACAGGATCGATGAGAAGGGTGCCGAGAAGAAGAAGGAGAACGAACGAAGAAGAAGGTGCTGGAGCGGCGTTTTTTTTTGTTTAGGGCGTAGGGTGTTTTTTTAGATGAGGTTAGAAGTTGTTAGAAGAGCCAAGCCCAATGCTGTGTGGGGAAGAGGACAGGAAGAAGTTTTTGAGCCCGAAGTCTGCAGAAAAACAAACTGCTGCGAACTTAAAAGTGTTGCGCATGTGCTGCGCCACGCAGCACTAAGAGGTTAGAAGAGTTTTTTTTTAAAACAAACACAACCTTAGAATGTGTTTGATACCACCAAATTTAGCGTCTTACTCGGTCCTTATCATCTGTCCGAATCATCAAAAAAATATTGTTGACTGGAAAAATAGACATGCTTTCCCTTTGCCCATGCCTATTCCTTCTTCTTCACTTGTCAAAGGTCAACGCCCTTTGCCCACGAGCTTAATTTCACTTGATTTGTGTTGCTTACACACATCTTGTATTTTTCCAACACACAATCGATGAGGTCAGCCTTCCATTATAATCAATATAGCAAAGTTTTTTTTATCTGATAATAAAAGATTCAAATGTTATTGATAGGATTTGTAATTATTGTCTGTAATAGTATGTCTCTACGAAATTCGCAGGTTCAATTAGGGTGACAAGCATATCGACGGATTTTGTTTGCTAAAAGAAAACAATTTCAAATTTGGATAGGAGACAATTGTTTGTAAATATCAACTATTTCAATATTTTGGATTGTCTTCTTATACTTTGCATTGAATTATACTTTGTCTGTATTCTTGATCTTCATTGCCCCAAGAGTATATAGGGTCAAAAGTCAAAAAGACCACTTTTCAATAACAAAATTGCATTGAAATTTTATGGGTTTCAAGAAAAAACTTAGACCTTCCACATCGCATGCTTGCAAATATACTTGCAATGCCACTTCATCAATTTGAAATACCACATATGCTTTGGTCTTTCACCATTTGAAAGGCTTGCAAGTTGTTTTTTATTATTTTTTTAATCAAATGGCATTAATTAAATATTAAAACCAATTATATATACCTCATTTCTCAATTGCAAATGACTTTGGAACCAATTTAAGATGCCGACGATAAATTTTGTAATATTTGGATTTTCATGTTTTACAATGTTAACTATTTTTATTTTTCATTTCTAGATAACTATACTCATGTTATTTTATTATTCATTATTATTATTAATATTTATAATATCTTTAAATAAAATATAAAATGGTTGATGATGTGGCAGTAGGGACCACTTTTGAAAGATAAATGATATTGCAGTGATGTAAACCTAATTACAAAAGATGACGTGGCATGTTTGAAAGACTAATTGGCATTGCGGATGGCCTTACATTACAAGATAAACACTATGAAAGGATACAAAATTGATGCCAAAATGGTAATTAATTGTGTTCAATTTCCATCTGTGTAGTAGTAGCATTGACTTCTAAAATGGTTTTTGCATATATGTCTTGAAGCCATTTCACATTATAGTGATTTTACAGCCATGGTTGCACAATTATACACTCATTGTGATCACCTGTTTTGTATAAGTTTCCAAAAGACACACAACCAAGGTTACTGAGATCAAACTAATGACATCTCTAAAAAAACACTATTTAACAACTAAGTTTTATAGATAATGGATATATGAATGTGTATTTAGAGGTTTACCACTTGCATGGATAAAAATATATGCCTTATGTACATGATTATCCATCATTCTCAATTTGTTTTAGTTGGACATCATAGCTCCTTAAAGAATTTATAATTAAATTGTACAATTTCCACAAGCTATTACATACGTAGTTGATTTTATAGTTACTCCTCTAGTGAGTATTGATCTACATGAGAAGCTTCATCATCTTGTGACTGTTCATCTCTAGCAGAAACTTCAAACTTATAAAAATGGTAAATCTAATAATACATAATTACATATTTCCTAAAAAATAAAAAAAAATAAAAAAAAATAATAAAATAAAAAAAAATCAAAAGAATGGAACTGAAATATTAGATTTGAGATCTAGTATGTAAGATCTGACATATATATTTCTAGATCTTCATCCACGTTCATCATTAATGATAACAAATTGAAATTAGATCTAATTAAAATGTAATTGGGTTTCAAAATCTTCATCCTCCATTTTATTTTCCATAAAAATTAAAAAAAAAATCCAATGGGTTCAAAAACTACTATTGAAATTAGTTGTTATAATTTGTGACATGTAAACCAGGAAGGTATCACAGGAATATTGGATGAAGAACATGAATCAGGAAAGAATGGAAAGGATGGCGGCTCTTTGAAGACGACGACGATGATTAGATCTACACTAGATACAATTTGTAACTGAAGAGCTAGAGTAGAGCGTAGTTGTATGATTGAATGTGGCAAACAAAAAGAGTAAATATTGGTTTAATCAACAGAATACATGGAGAAAATGAGAAGATAAACAATTTTGACACCATGGCAGCAAAATCGTGATGTTCTTCACACTAAATCAAATCAGACAAAACGATAAAAAAGAAATTTGTTTCCCTGCACTTTTTCCACATATCCTTTCAACCTTCCTATTAAATTATTTGGTTTAATTTTTATGTGAAAGGACATTACGTGGCTCTCCTATATCCATTACTTTAAAAAAAATTATGTATACCTTACTTGAATGTCTTTTCTTTATCGGTATTCATTGGAATCCATTATATATATATATATATATATATATATATATATATATATATATATATATAGAGAGAGAGAGAGAGAGAGAGAGAGCGCTAGGTTCAGATATTTAAAGTAATTATTGTGTTATTGTATGCATAAATGTGGGCCAATCAAAATTTAAAAAATAAATAAATAATCAAACAAATAAATAAGGGTAATTTAGTAATTTGATAAATAATTTCTACAAATACACTCCTATAATTATGGTAATTACTTTGACCTACCTTTATCCTTTTTTAAAACAATCAACAATACTGTATTCTATCCCATTCAATCCTCCCTAACCCTAGCTCCAAAAGAAGATCGCCACCACCATCATTTGCTGTTGCCGCCGATGAGCTTCAACAAGATTTTCGCATTCTCCTCCTGATGGAGCATTTGACCTGATGACATATCGACTTAGCACTCAAGTGAAGCCTTTGATATGGATGGAAGCTCAGATTGAAAGGCATTCAAGAAGCCGAATGGAAACTATGGTAAAAGTTAGGAGTCAATTCAAGGAGTGTAGGTATGTAAACCATTGAAGTTTAATTTTACCCCTATTTCTCGATGTTGCTAATCTGAGATTCTCCTTCGAAATCCTCTACAAATTTTACTCATTTTCGGAGAAATTCTACATCTGTTTCTCATTGAGCGAGAATTTAGGGCTTTTTTTTGTCAATGAGAAGATGACAGCAACAACTTCTGTTTCTTCTCCCTGGACTTTGGTTACCCTCAATTCACTGAAGCTAAAATCCTTAGTGAGTTCATAAAGACTGATGCATATAAGATGAAAGTTTCACAGAGACCTCCCATGGCTATTACAAATGCTGTCTCATGGCGTAATGAAGGGATACATTACAAAAAGAACGAGGCATGTCTTCTTGTGGGATTTTTCTAAATGATTACTATCACCTGCTCGTGCTCCACCTCCAGCACCAGTTAACCGATCACCCCCTCCTGCCCCTGTTCAGTCTAGTGGCGGTGGATCGATTTTTGGAGGCATTGGTTCAACCATAGCTCAAGGTAACTCAATATAAACCATATCCTATATCATTATTATACGTATACACTTTTTCTTTCTTTCTTTCTTAATTTTATGAATTTGAGTTATATTTTGACACTTTTGGTATGTTAGGAATGACTTTTGGTACTGGAAGTGTTGTGGCTCACAGAGCTGTGGATTCTATTATGGGTCCCCACACAATTCAACATGAGACTGTTGGTGCTGCTGTTCCAGATGACTTTGCTACAAACACCTTTGTCTCTGATGCTTGTGGCATGCACTCCAAGGCATTCACAGATGTATGTCTACATTCTAATTGTTAATATATTGAAAGGTTGTTGCTATCACTCATATTACAATTTACAAACAAACAATTTGTTAATCTCTTCAGGTATTTTTGGATGTTGTGGAGAGTGTGAATATGCTTGTCAACAGTAATGGGCAAATAGTTAGATCAGAAGTCGTTGGTGCATTGAAGATGCGAACTTATTTGAGGTCAAACTAAATTTCTCTTTATTTTCTATAATATATCTTTAAAAAGTTTTTTTAAAAAAAATAACTAATGGACAAATTTGCCTTTATTTCATTCTTGTTACATTGGTATGCCTGCGTGATAGAGTATTATTGGAGGCACAAGGACGGACTACAAAGAGAAAAGCCATTGACTTGGATGAGATTAAGTTCCACCAATAATTTTTCATTTTCTTTTAAATCTTATATCACATATTATATATATATAATATATATATATATATATATATATATATAGTTTTTTAAAATTTGAGGCTATGGATAAATTTGGTGTAGATGTGTGCTATTGGCACGTTTTGAAAATGATAGAACAATATCATTTGTGCCCTCCTGATGGAGCATTTGACCTGATGACATATCGACTTAGCACTCAGGTGAAGCCTTTGATATGGGTGGAAGCTCAAATTGAAAGGCATTCAAGAAGCCGAATGGAAATTATGGTAAAAGCTAGGAGTCAATTCAAGGAGCGTAGGTATGTAAACCAATGAAGTTTAATTTTACCCCTATCTAGGTTTTTGAAATGATTGGTCCATATCTAGGTTGATCATTTAACCCTAGGATTATTGCTTGAAATTGCCATGGAAAGAAGATTAAGCAATATCAATGAGTGGTTGTATTTCTCATTTGCAGGTACACATGAAATCAAGAACAAGAATGTTCTTGTTTTCTTGGCTGGGAACGAAACGAGAGATATCAAAGCAAAACAAGGTACATATGAAACTTACAACATTCTACTGGAATGAAATCTTGAATTTCGATTCTGTCAGAATAGAATCTTGAAGATGAACATTGTATGAGATGAAGATGAACAATGACCACCAATCTTCCAAACAGAATGGATTATTCCAGCAGAATAATATACAATATAATGAAAAAAAATATATATGTAATAATATAATATGGTAGAATGATTTATATATTGTATTTCTTTGTTATTAATAAGTGTAACATTTTTATAGAATAGTATATAATTTTTTTTCTTTTCTAAGAATGTAATGAATTTTTTTTAACTTGTATCCAAAATTTTGTTATTCTTTAAGAAGTTCATTAAATCAAAATATATATTATGTCAGAATGTGTATTTTTGTATGGTTCAATCATATTTATTATTTTTCAATATATTGATAAACATATTCCGTCAGAATGTTACGAATTAGGAGAATTATCATCCATACAATCAGATTTTTAAAATTAATAGAATCTATTTTCCCTTAAAATATGCAATTTTCCGTTATTAAATCTATATTAATCGACTAAAATACCCTTTTAGTTAGAATAGATGGTATTTTTGAATTATATTTAATTCAATAATATGTAATAATCACTTACTTAAAATAAGTAAAATTGATTGGCCCACATTTATGCATACTATAACCATGGTTGTCAAAATCACGATCCTGATCGTAGGATAGTACGATCCTACGATCCTAGGTATAAAAAACGATCCGGATCGTAAAAAGATCGTATTTGGGGTAGGATCGTAAAATCGTAAGTAGGATCGTAGGATCGAGATTCGATCCGATCCTACCTGCCTTTATATATATATATATATATATATATATATATATATATATATATATATATATATATATATATATATATATATATATATATATTTTGCAAATGTGTTTTTTTTTTTACCATTTTATGTCTTTTACCCTTACCAATTTAGCATTTATCATTTTGTGTTGCGACTTATGACTAATATTTTGAATTTTTTTTAACTTTTGAACAAAAAATTGAATGTTTGAACTATTTTTCATGATTAAAAGTTATAAATTAAAATTATATTTTATTTTGTGGGATCTTAGGATCCCGATCCCGATCTTGCAAACTCAAAAACGATCCTACGTACGATCCCGATCTTGACAACCTTGACTATAACACAATAATTACTTTTAATAGAATAACCTAAGCCTATATATATATATATATATATATATATATATATATATATATATATATATATATATATATATACTATTATTTGGAAATTAAAACTTAATATATACTTATATTTAATTCTAGTTTTCGTTTATTTGATTTAGGATTCATATATTCATTAATTATTATACTACGTAAGGTGTATGTTTGTTAAGTACTTTTAAATTTTAATTTTAACAATTATAGTTTAAATAAGCCATTTTATTGTCCTAAAATTTAATAAAAATTGAAGGAAAAATTGTTGAATCGATATCGTGAAAACGAATATTATTCATATAAATAGTTGTTCTCCTGTATTAAATTACATTTAATTATATGTATTTAATCACATATGATTTATGTGGACAAGTTTGATTTTCAGGTTATGGATTCAATAGTTGATCTTTATCCACATTAATCATACGTGATTAAATACTGATAATCACATGGGATTAAATACACGAGAAAAATTATTGAATCGACAACGTGAAAATGAATATTATTCATACAATGTATATGTGATTAGATATATAATCACATGTGATTATATGTACGAGAACACCTATTGAATCAAAAAAGGAAAAAAAAATTTCCACATAAATCATATGATATAAAATACAAATAATCACATGTGATTAAATAGATGAGAGCAACTATTAAATCAAGAACGCAAAAACGAATCTTGTCTATATAAATCACATGTGATTAAATACACGAGACCAATTATTGAATAAAAAAATGCAAAAATAAATAATTTTCACATAAATCATATGTGATTAAATACATATAATCACATTTGATTATATGTATCCAATCACATATGATTTTTGGGGACTATTTTTTTTCGCGTTCTCGATTCAATAATTTTTTTTCCACTTTAATCATATGTGATTAAATACATTTAATCATATGTGATTAAATACATTTAATCAGATGCGATTAAAATTTTCTAATCACATATGATTTTATTTGGAAAAAATGAATCTTGTCTGTATAAATCATATGCGATTAGATACATATAATCACATGTGATTATATATACAATAACAAATATTGAATCAAGAAATGAAAACAAATCTTTATCCACATTAATCATATTTGATTAAATACATCTAATCACATGTGATTATATGAATCGAATCACATGTGATTATATGAATCTAATAACATATGATGGTGGTGGTGGCGGGTGACGGTGGAGGGTGGTGGTGGTAGGTATTGGGTTTAATCGCATGTGATTATATGTATTTAATCATATGTGATTTATTTGGAAAAGATTTGTTTTAACGAATCTTGTTTATATTAAATTATATTTGGAGTCAAGATCAAATAAGAAGGAAATTTTTGGTAGGAAGGTAAGAAGTTTTTTTTCTACATATTTTTTTCGCGAACAAACAAAATGAATCATTAGATGATTCATTTGTAAGATGATTCACAAGAAAAAATTCTCAAAAAAACATCTCGATGATTCATTGATACAATGATTTTGTTGTTATTCATTAAAATTGTCATAAAAGTGAATTTTTTCTTAATTTACTTAAAAATGAATCATAAAGATGTTTTTTTGGGAATTTTTTCTTGTGAATCATCTTACAAATGAATCATCTAGTGATTCATTTATTTTGTTCGTCAAAAAAATATGTAGAAAAAAACTTCTTACCTTCCTACCAAAAAAAATTTCTTACCGGATCTATATCCATTATATTTGATTAAATACAAATAATCACACGCGATTATATGTATTTAATCACATGTGATTTTTGTGATTACATACATATAAAAAGGTGCATATAATCACACATGATGTATGTCATTATATGTATTTAATCATATACAATGTTATTGGTTGTAGATGGTGGGTGGTGGTCGTGTGGTGGCGATGGGTGGTGAAGGTAGGGGTGTGGTGGTGACGGGTGGTGGTGTGTCGTGGGTGATGAGGGTCGTGGGTAATAGTTGGTTTGCGGTGGTTGTGGGTGGTGGTGGGTGGTTATTAGTGGTGGGTGGTAGTGGTAAAGGGTGGTGGGGTGACAGGTGGGGTGGTGGGCGGGGGTAGGGGTGGTAGTTATTGTGGGTGGTGGGTGGGTCGGTGGTGGTGGTGTTGATGGGTGGGTGATGACAGGTGGTGGTGGCGTGTGGTGATGTTTGGTGGTGGTGGTGAAGATGGGTGGTGGGTGATGATTGTGGTAGATGGGGATGATGTTGGTGGGTGTTGGTTGGTGGTCACATGGAACAGTTTTATAGAATAGTTTAGGTAAGTTGGGTGTCGATCACAGGGAACGGTTTTAACTAATTAATTTACCTACTACTAAGTTAACCGAAATTTCTAGCAAAGTATTGGTTTTTATCTAATTTTGCAAGTTTAGATGAACTTAATTCTTAACACAATTCAATCAATTAACAAATCACTTCTGTTAGTTCGAATCCACTTTCCCTCAATGGTTTATAAATTATTTATGACAATTCATGTTGGTTACCAATTAGAATATTATTAGCAATTCAGTTCTAAATTTACTAATATTAATTAATTCATGTAGATCTATGTATGGTCACACATAATTTACACATAATCAATTATTAAACAGTATTGGAGCTATGTAAGATTGAGTTGACAAATACAAATTATGGTCATAATATGAGTTCTCTAGCACAGCCTAGTTCAATTACTTATCTAATATTGGTTCGATCTTAGCTCTAATAATCTAATGTTCACTAAATTACTAGGTATTCAAATTCATGCAGATTAATGGTCATTAACTACACATAATAAGACATTAAAGCAATATAATATCAAATCAAGCATGCTAGGTGTAATAAATCAAACACAAGTCATAACCAACAAGTAAAGTCTAAACTAATATATTAAAACCATGAGTTCCAGTTTCAACTAGCTAACAGAAGCAGCTAGATTTAGTTGGACATTCTAACAAATAAGCTAACACAATTCATAATCAAAGACATGTTAATGTACCAAACTATAAAGTAGATTATGAACTTCTTCTTCCTCCTTGGTATTAAGAACAATTTCTAGGCTTTCTTTCCTCTGAAATTGGACTTCTGAAACCTTTCCAAGTCAGCCAACTCCTTCAAATCGTAGGGATCAAGTCTGATTTATACTTTCTGAATTATCCGTACTCACGTCGTGAGCGAGTAAGTCTCACGTCGTGAGCTCAGTATCTATCCGTGTTCCACAAGGATTCTGATCCGCGATGCTTATCTTCTGGAATGTCCCAACTCACGTCGTGAGCCTTCAATACTCACGTCGTGAGTACTTGTTTTTGCTGGATTTTTATTCTTTCAAGTCTTCATCCTCCAAAGTTCCATTCCTTGACGCTTTTAGTCCCTTTTCTTCAATATGTCTTCTATTTGGCTGCAAAATACAATTTAACCTTATAAGTATCATTATTCCATGCAAATGACCAAAATATTAATTAAAATGTACTTAAATATTGCCTAAGAACATGTATAAATATGACAATATCAAATACCCCACACTTATTCTTTGCTTGCCCTCAAGCAAATCTAATTATTTTTAAATTCAAACCCTTATCACTAACATCACATAGAACAATCAAATTCAAGCTCAGCCATTATACCAAGACCTCAATGTGCATATTTGTGTCTAAAATTTTTTCCTAACAACTTCTCAATCCTAGCTACTCACAATCCTTATGAACCTTCACCCCTTAGCTTATACAATATTCATTTCTGCAACCCTCCGAATCAATCCTCAGAAATATTTTTTAACCTCAAGGTATTTTGTAAAGCTACCCAAACATACATAATCTAGAAATTACAACTTTAGATACCACCATGGAGCTCT